AAGTATGCACTCACCTGGTGTCCTTAGCTTGTAAACCTTCCTAGCACTTCATATTACGTCCTTAAGCTTCTCTTTAGCTTTAACATTGCTTGGTATTTTGCCTGTAGATATGTCTTCTGATGAACATGGTTTGAGTGTTCCTTCGCCTTACAGTCTTCATTCTCTCCTATCTAATGTTCACTCAAAGCATGGTCGGCATCTTCAAGCCTAAGGTTTTTTCTGTGTAAGGGTTGATTCATGGTGACGAATCTATTACTGTTTATTAGGATTTAGCTTCCCCTTCATATAAGGTATTTGTTCAGATGATTACAATGTGTTGATCTGTAAACATACGTGGCCGTTGGTATCGTTACATCCGGAAAGGAGCACCATCGGTTGTTTCACATTAAGAAAAATATGGATCAGTCAGTGGTCAAGTATAAAGCTTGATTGGTGGCGAAAGGTTTTACCCAAGTCCCTAGACAATACTTTCACGATATGTTCAACCTGGTTATCAAACCATCTGCGGCCGAATTCATTTCGTCACTAGCAGTTATGCATGGGTGTAAGCTACGACAAGTTGATGTTATTAATGCATTCCTTAATATAGATCTTCATGAAGAAGTATTTATGGTGCAACCTCTGGGGTTTGAGCAATTTACGTACGGTGGCTCAAAATTAGTGAGTAAACTTAAGAAAGCTCTATATGGTCTTAACAAAGCTCCTCGCAGGTGGTATGCAAAGTTGTAGACTTTCTTTCTTCAACCTGGCTTTCGAGGAACACAAACATATATCTTCTTATTTATTCGAAAGATGAATGATCGTTTCATCTATGTTCTTGTGTATGTTGATGACATTATCATTACAGGTTATAGTAAGGATGATGTGAAACAAGTTGTCACTCAATAAAGTTGCATTTAGTGTCAATAAAGTTTTACTCAATATATGCATGACCTCGTGAGCAACATTGGGTAGCCATGAAATATATCTTACGATTCTCGACAAACACTCTTGATTTTGGTTTGATTTTTCGCAAGGCTTGTGTAAGATTAGAATTGGAGGCATTTCCTTATGCTGATTGTGAAAGCAATATTGATGATCATTGTTTGATTTTTGGATTTTGTGTTTTCTTTGAGGCAACATAGTCTCGTGAAGCTCAAAATGTCAACATTCAGTGACTCGATCAACCACTGAAGTTGAATATCGTAGCATTGCTAATGTAGTTGCGGACATTACTTGGATTCATGAACTGATGGTCGAGATAGGGATGTCATGCACCACCACACCCATTGTATGGAGTGATAACACGAGCACAGTTGCGATGAGTGTCAATCCAGTTTTTAATTCTCGCTCAAAACATGTTGAGTTGTATCTTCATTTCGTTTGAGAAAAGGATGGTGCTGGTTCGGTTTGTGTTAATTATATTCCTGCTCAATACCAAATGGCGGATGGGCTCGCTAAACCTCTCTCTCATACTTACTTCTCTATGTTTCGACATAAGCTTTATGTCTCGGATGGTGTTTTTGAAGCTATTCCATAGATTGTTGGTTTTGGTGTTTCGCGTACGTCAGGGGAGGAGCACTCATAATAGGGCTAAACTAGGTAAACCTAGGATCCTTTGGAAGAACTTACATGGAGCGACAACTGATGACTTTAGGAGTAAGGTTTTATCTCATACAGGTTTTGGAACTACAGACTCAAATAATACAGATGTGTTATGGAAAAATATGGTAAATTACATCAGAGAGGTGGGCAGAAACACCCTTGGGTTGTTAACAGGGAAGGCCAATGAACATAAAGAATCGTGGTGGTGGAACGACGAAGTCCAAACTAAGGTGAAGACAAAGCAAACTTGCTTCAAGGAGTTGCTATAATGTAATAACGACGAAGAAAAATTGAGAGCTAAACAAAGATACAAGGAGGCAAAGCGGGAAGCCAAGAAAACAATGGCTAAAGCAAAGGATAAGGCATACGAGGAAATGTACAAGAGATTAGACACCAAGGAAGAACAAACCGGCATCTTCAGGCTTACAAAATCCAGGGAGAATAGGAAAAAAGATCTAGATAGAATTAGGCTTATTAAGGACAACAATGATGTTCTTTTAGTGAAAGATCATGATATTAAGAGGGTTTGGGGTAGTTACTTCTTCGGCTTATTTAATAACGGTGCCTCTCCCTGCAGAGATAGTAACGTTGATGGGTTAGCCGACCATCATACTACGACCAATGACTGCCCTACAAGTAGGATTGGGATTGAGGAAGATAAATTACACATAGAAAGATGGGGAGGGACAAAGCTGTCGGTCCATATCAAATTCCTATCACTGTGTGGTTGACCCTAGGAGAAAAGGGAGTTAAGTGGTTGACCAACGTCTTTAATATTATTTTAGAGACTGCCAAAATGCCAAAGGAGTGGAGAGAGTTTACAGTGATACCAATCTATAAGAATAATGGAGATCCCCAACGTCGTGGCAACTATAGAGGTATTAAACTACTCAGTCATACCATAAAGCTATGGGAAAGAGTGATAGAGGCTAGGTTGAGACAGGTTACTAGGGTTTTGGAAAACCAATTTGGCTTTATGCCAGGCAGGTCTACTACGGAGGTGATTCATCTACTTCGACGGCTTATGGAGAAATATAGGGGAAAATAGAGATCTTCACATGGCGTTCATTGACCTTGAGAATGCGTATAATAGCGTACCCCGCAAAACGATCTGGGAGACCTTGGAAACGAGACAGATCCCAACTGCTTATATTCGGGCGATTCGTGATATGTACTATAGATCTACTACATACGTCAGGACTACAGTTGGCGACACCGAGGTATTCCCGGTGAAAATCAGACTCCACCAGGGGTCGACTCTTAGCCCTTACATCTTCTCCTTGATTATGGACGACATCTATTGTGCGACACCAGACGGTGTTCCATGATGTATGCTTTTCGTCGACGACATTGTCCTAGTTGCTGAAACAAAAAATGAGCTAAATAGTAGAATTGCTTCCTGGAAGACTGCTTTGGAAGAAAAAGGTCTAAGGATCAATATTGAAAAGGCAGAGTATTTATGTTCAAACTTCAGTGGGAACTAAAATGATGAAGATGTAGAAGTATGCATCGAAGGACACGTTCTCCCCTCCAAGGATTGTTTCAAGTACCTAGGGTCTATGATACATAAAGATGAGGTGTAGATGATGACGTTACACACCGTATAAAGACGGGATGGCTAAAGTAGAGGGTTGCTAATGGAGTTTTGTGTGACAAGAAGATGCCTCTAAAACTTAAGGGAAAATTTTATAGAATGGCAATAAGACCAGCACTACTGTATGGATCATAATGTTGGGCAATCAAGAAGGATCACGTAAGGAGGATGGAGGCAACAGAAATGAGAATGCTTCGATAGGCATGTGGTAGGACTCTGTGGGACATGACACCAAACTCTACTATTAGGATGTCCTTGGGGGTGGTGCATGTATCCGAAAAATTGAGGGAGGGAAGACTACGGTGGTTTGGGCATGTCCTTAGGTGACAACCGTCGGATGCGATTAGGAGGGTAGAGTCGATTACAGCCGACGGTGCCAGAAGGAGAGGACGACCAAGGAGGAAGTGGGTAGACTGCTTGAGATCTGATTTGAAGGATTTATCCCTTACCGAGGATATGACCTCTGATAGGAAAGTATGGAGACTTAAGATCAGGATAGCCGAGTAGTGTGGGTCACATCTATAGGGTGTAGCATCTCTGTCTTCTTTTTAATTGTCTTTGTAGTAATTTCCATGACCTCTATTTTTTTATACGTTTCTGCCTTAGTTTAGGTTTTAATCCATTTTGACTTTATTCCTTCTCGTAGCTTGCTATCGCTGACTTCTGTGTATCCTTCTATTCATGTTTCCTCTTTTTTAATTTAACCTGGATTTACGTTCTTGTCTATATGCAGAGATTTTTACGCAGGGATTTATTTGCAGGGATTACTTCCCATTATAGACGCGCATATGAATGACAGCATATGAAGACTGTTCAACTATGTATTTATTTATTTATACATGATTTGTATTTTATCTTTATTTTTAATTTTCTGACTGTCGGAGGTCTTCCACGGAAGCTGCTCTCAACCTGGCGTTGGGGGCAACCTACTAACCTACCTCCCCTTACAGCATTGCATATTGGAATAGAGTTTTTTTTGTTGTTGTAACTACATTGTCTTGGATACATAGAACCATATCTCAAGTAATATAGAAACTATGAACTCCGAAACAACTTCATATAGTACAAATAACATGATGAGACCAAGATGGAGCTCTTATCAAAGAAAACCTTAGCAAACTCAACCATTATTTTCCCAACAAGAAGTTCATCAATCTGAAGAAATTTCCCAGAAAAAAAATTAGTCAATTCTCGCAGCTCTATCTAATTGGGTGAGTTGACACATCAACTTTATCTCAATGATTGAGCTATTTTACTTTTTTTGACTAACAACACTATTATATAAGTTTTATGTTAATGGTATGCAATTTGATTATAAATTACAATATATTGAAATTAGAACCCCGTCTCTTTCCTGAAAAAGCAATGGGATCTTTGACAAATTTTTGATGCTGGATAAGAGAGTGCCTATTCTTCATGGAAAAACTTGATCCTTTACTTATTTATCTTCAAATTAAACCCGAAATTTAGATGGACCGATTTTATCTATTAGAGAACAGATGGCAGTAAGCAATTAGCCACTTGGGATGCCAAGGGACCCCTGGTGGCACTTATCTATTATGCTTTCAGATGGAAAAAAAAAGTAGGACTGATATTATGTGCAGAGAAGCATTGTGTGAAAGGGAGAGTAAACTTCATTTCAAATATTTGGCATAAAATATTGTAATACATCATCACTATTGGTTGATGATGATGTGCACATGGGCTGAACTGCAAATGGCTATTTGTTTTATGTAATTCTGTATATTTGCTGATTACTGAGACAGGTTGAGATATATCATTCCCATAAACAGTTTTTTTGCATATGAAGAAGGAAAAGGTAATGGAGAGCAAGAAAGAAGCTGGTTCTTCATCCTCATTAACTGCTGATCATTTTGGTTCCAAACAATCATCATCCAAAGGGATTTTCGGTTCAATTTTTCCACCTCCATCAATGGTATATACTGTTAAAAAATGGTAGCTTTCATTGCAGTTCAACAGGAATCTAAGACACTCCCTTTCTTCTTTTTTGGCATGATTTAGTTCATGTGTCTCGTTTTGATTCATTTTCTTTAATAAGAGTTATAGTCTGATGGGAGTTCTCATTCTTCAAAATTTCAGTTATTAGAATCATGGACGAAACAGCCTTTACAACATGGAATGCAAGGTTAATGAACGATGATATTTTGTTTTTCACATAACTGAGAAGACTGTGGCGAATATACGGTGGAGAGAACCGTAGCAGCAAGGGAAATGTCATGTTGCAGCTGCAATTTAAATGTCCGGTTCTTACTTACAAGATAATGCAAGATAGTATCCTGATTAACATAATCTGATTTTGTAATGTAGCTCCACTTGCTGGGAGTGCAACCTATAGCATAGCCAACAAGGAAAGGAACTCTGTTTTCCAAGAAGAAAGGATGGAACCATGCCATTTAAGTTCATCTATTTACTATGGAGGCCGAGACATATATGGTCACCCCTCGAGTACCAAAACTTCTACATCATATCCCATAGTGAGTTTCGAGATTCATCGAATCCGATGCCGGAAAAAACATGAAACATGCTTTGTCATCCATGCAAGAAAGTAATTGTGCTGTATATTGTGAATGGACAGTTTAAGAAAGATGGAGAAGATCCTAAGGGGAGAAATCCACAGGATGCTTCTAGGGGAAACTGGTGGCTAGGTACACTTCTGTTCTTCTGCAACTATTAATTATACCATTTCGATATCTCGAAACTCGACTTTGATATCTGCAGGTTCGCTCTATTATTAGAGCCTAGCCCTGCGATGCACAGCACTGTCCATCAGTTTCCTAGGGTACTTTCATTTTCAAAACTTGAACTACTTTCCTTACATGACCTTACCCTTTCATTTACTATTTTTAGTCTTGACATTTTGCAGGAACTTTTCATAAAAGCAAGCAAATAATCATGGAGGATGTCAAGTATAAATAAGTTTCTGACATGGACAGTTCTGTAGTATGATATATTTTCGTAATTAAATGCAAGTGAAGTTGAAATAGAATATCAACATATTTCCGGTGGCAATGAGAAAGAAAAAGTTACTATATCTGCAATTTTACATGGTCCCAAGTGCAGATATGAGATGACATTCTTCTTAACACGCTGTCAGTAGGCATTTCTTGCCTAAATTAGCCCCTAAATTCAGGTTGAAAGGAATTATATTTAGGGGACGGACGCAAAATTTTAAGTTAAGAGGGACGAATATGAATTTACAAAATTTTAGGGACGAAAACAGATTTTTCAATAAAAAATAGATAGAAAAAATTTAAAATATCTGTTAATTTTATATTTTTAGGAGAGGCGCCCTGCCTAGGTTGATCCTGATTATATCCCCTAATTTTTTTGAAATGCAGTTATACCACTTTTTAGAAATGACCAAATTTTGGAGACAAAATCCTATAACTACCGGCCAGTGAAAATTCATTCTTCATCTTTCCATTTCCAACCAATTCTCATATTATCTATATCCAAACCACATAGATCTAAATCGAGAACTCAATTTCATAAACGTGATCTTTTCTAATACAAGATTAAAAAAATTAAAAATTTAAATAAATAATTAAAAAAATAATATAAACAATTAAACAGGATTTTTGGGTAGTAGCAAATGACTGCAAATATAAAAATTAAGGGTAAACTACACTAGATACCACCTAACTGTAGGCATTGTTTCTTTTATATCACTGGACTTTCAATTTTATCAATTATAGTAATGAACTTTGATTTTTGTTTTAATTATATTGCTAGGGAGTTAAATCGCTAACATCCATATCGAAACGACATATTTTTGGTGAGTGACTACATTGAAGGTTCTCAGCCATATCAGTAGTCGTCAGTCATGTCGTCATGTCGCTAACGATTTAACGGTTTAGTGGAATAACTGAAACGAAAATCAAAATTTAGTGTTATAATTGACAAAATTAAAAATCCAGTGATATAAACGACACAACGCTTAAAATTCGATGGAATTTGATGTAGTTTACTCAAATATTTATTATATAACGTTTTTTAAATTTAGTTTATTTATTTAGTAATATATTAATAATTAATATACTTACCAATTTACTAATTATCTAATTATACTGTGGATTATATATAAATCTTATTAAAAAATATAATCGCCTTAAATAAACTTTTTTACGATTTAATTTGAATTCGATTGATTGGCAGTACAACGATGCTTTAATAATAATATCAATATTAATATTATTAAAAATAGCAATATTAATATATCTTCTAATAAAAAATAATGATATAAATAATTATGGAATGAAACCCTGAAATATATTCAATAACCACCGCATGAGGTATTTTAGGGGAAAAAATCCGATCCGATCCATTAATTCGTCGATCCGATCCAAAAGTTTGGATATCTTATCCGTTTTTTAATTTTTGAATAATTTGGATCGTATATCCAAAAAAATAATAATTAAATCGGATACGGATTAGTTAAACTTTAATTTTGGATTATTAGAAAATCCGAATAAAATGGGCCATTAAAATATTTTACCCAGGCCCAGCTAAGCTATCCAACCAGCCCGTCTCTAGCCTGAAAATTTAAATGCTTAATACTCCAGCCACTAGTCATCTAACCAGAAAATTAAAATGCCAAAAGCCCAGCCACTGGTCACACAACCTTAATGGCTTCCAGATTGAATCGAATGAGTTCTGGTGTTTATCAATATGAATTATTAATTTTTTTTACTTTTTATCTTATTTTTTTACAAACTAAATGAAATATTAAGAATTTATCATGAAATTGTTAAAAACATATTTTAGTGAATATATAATAGTGGTATAAAATATATTACATAAAGTCACACCACATTAAATTTAAATTAATTTTTTATTTAAAGTGTATATTCGGATCCAGATTCGGATATCCAATACTAATTTTCGGATATCCGATTTTTTTTCAGATTGGTTACGGATTGACATTTTAATGATCTAAATTTTTTGGATATTCGAAACTTCGGATCGAATAATATCCGAATCCAAAAACGAACACCCCTAATACTGAGCAGTGGAAATTTGGGAGAAAGTTTTGGTGAAAGCCCGTGGAGAATGAAGATGTAGACTGGGATATGGGAATGCTTCCAGATAAAGATAGGGATACTGGGCGTAGGGCTAAAGGTCATTTATTTTCATAATATTTGATAATTCAAAATTGATATTTTTTTATTTGTATTTGATCCAATTATCCAATTTTTATTGATATTTGATTGGAATTACATGTAAAAAAATTATATTAGATATCCAAAAATTCAGACGAGTCATCAAATAAACAGATCGAATTATTCAAATCAGATATTTTTGCACATCCCTGCTTCTAGCAGTGAAAAATTGATTTTCCACCCCATAATCAATGTCAAACACTTAAAAATTGGTCTTAGATCATGATTGGAAAAATGATTTTCAACCTAACCTCAAAATTATTTTTTGGAGTGAAACTATATTTTTATTCTCAATTATTTAATTTTAATTAATTTTAAATTAATACACATACATGTATAATTATATATTAATTATTTTTGGAGTGAAACTATATTTTTATCCTCAATTATTTGATTATTTTTGAAAAATTAATTTTTTTGGAGTGAAACTATATTTTTAAATTAATATACATATAAGTTTTTTCAAATTGATTGTTACATATAAGTTGATAGAAATTTAAAGATTTTTTATATGCAATCATCTAAATATTATGATAAAATGTTTCTTTTTTTATAATTATTAATATTATAATTTGTTTCAAACCTAAAAGTAAGGGGCAACATTTTCAAAATTCCTCATAAACCATTTTTCAATTATTCAAAATTCTTTCATAAGACATTTTCAAAACTTCCTCATTAATCATTTTCAACTTTATAAAATAAAGAAAGAAAAACATTTTTCAAACAAGATAATCTCTATAGAGTATATCTTGGAAATTAGCAAGTGTCTCTCAGACATAGAAGCTTAGAATAAGAACTGGTGCAAAAAATTGACATTTTGGGGGCAAAATTTACAGGGGCAAGAAGAAATTGACACAAGTAAAAAATTGCAAGATACACTCTGGTGTGACAAAGAATGAAACCAGGAAGAGAATGAAAATTGTTCTTGCAACTACTCCCATCAAATCAACAAAACATGCATGTTACATGAATTTGCATCTTTGCATCATACATTTATCATTTCATACAAACATGATAATTTTGATTTCCCTCTCATGAGGATGCATGTAAAACTATTTTAAGAAGCCATTTGTCTTTCTTAAGACTGTTTCCTGAGAAACGTCACTTTAATCCTTCTTAGGATCATCTAGAAATTTATTTGAGTCTTTCTTTGGATCGTTTCTATAGAAATTCATTTTAGTCATTCTCAGGATTGTTTCCCTAAAAACATCAACTTGACTTTCTTGCGAAGAGGAGTCAACCTTTCAGTGATGTCATTCTTGAATTTCTCGCGAAGAGAAGTCAACCTTTCAATGATTTTATTCTTGACTTTCTCGCGAAGAGGAGTCAGTCTTCCAATGATGTCATTCTTGACTTTCTCGCGAAGAGGAGTCAACTCTTAGTGATGTCATTCTTGACTTTCTCACGAAGAGGAGTTAACATTTTAGTGATGTTATTCTTGGGTTTCTTGCAAATATGAGTCAACCTTTTAGTGATATCATTTTTTGACTTTCTCGCAAAGAGTTGTCAATCTTTCAGTGTTGTCATTATTGACTTTATCGCGAAGAGTAGTCAACTCTTTAGTGATGTCATTCTTGACTTTCTCATGAAGAGGAGTCAACCTTTAAGTGATGCCATTCTTGAGTTTCTCATGAAAAGGAGACAATCTTTTAGTGATATCCTTCAGGACTTTCTGATAGGGAAGCGGTGACGGGTTAATGAACGTTGCTCTTGTTGAAGAATCAAATCTAGAAAGCTCTAGACTCGATGAAGAACTAAGGGGGATGAATAAATGAAGGTGGTGGCAGTAACTAGGGCCTTTTAGAGTTTCTTTTAAGTTCTGGAAACAAGGTAAGAAACAAGATTAAAACAAGATAAAGAAATTGAAAATAAAGTATTATAACCAAGAAATCAAAAGATCTCCCTTATGAAGGTGAACGGTAAAGATGATCATTGTGATGATGGATTTATCGAAAATAGATGGATAAGTGTCCCATTGAGCCCTCCTAGTCGCAATGAAAAGGAAAACACGATAATATGGCTCTAACCAACCCTCCTTGCCATGATGAAAAGGAAAATTGGAGTGTGAAGATTAATCTCCCTCATAAGAACTTGAAAGAACTCTAGGAGAAGAAGCTTCGAAGGCACAAGGCAGTTAACACTTGCAAAAACGAACTCTCATTGTATTATAATCAAAGAAATCTGATTTACAAAGTTGAATGAAGCCTCCTTTATATAGGGGTTGAGTTCTAAAGGTCCTAAATAACTAAATAATAAAATAATAACAAACTAAACATGTCTTAACTCTAATTCCTAATAAAGTAATAATAACTAAAAATATTGTTTTAACCCAACCTTAGTTCCTAATAAAATAATAACTCTAATCCTAAAAGATAATTCATCATCCTATATTAAATTATATTACAAATAATCAATATAAATATTGAAAATTCGTAATATTTACAAAATCATGTATTAATCCCGTATAGGATTTTCAGCATGCACCGTCTTCAGTAAAATGGCCATATCTTGAGTTCCCGATATCGGATTGATGCAATTAAAGAACTGTTGGAAAGATAAGAGACAGATGGTCTTATATAAAGAGACATGTTGACCAAATAACATCAGTATCCTATTCAAAAAGTCATCTCAAATCCGCTATTGTTCTGGTCTTCATTTCATATGCTTGGACGAGTGGATCATTTGGAAGAGTTATTACTTCTTCCTTTGATGTGAGGATTGTGATGAATGTATCATCCTCTCTTTCTTAAAAAAGATTCGACCTCGAGTCTGAAACATTAAAGGGAGCAACATTAGAATCGTTTAATGATTCATTCACATTATGTTTACCGAATAGATATGCTTTGAATCTTCGAGACTTTGTTCTTCTAATAGGTTCGAGTAGAAACATTAGTCCAAAGAAGCATGTATTATTATTATGGAATGTGGTACATGTATCACTTCCCCACTCCTCAAAAGGATTCTTCCTCGAATCTGAAAATCCAAGAGAAAGAGAATTAGATGTGTTGAAAGGAAAACTTGTGAAACATTTACCATGATCAATGTCATGAATCTTTATGCATTTTAGTTGAGGTTTCTTCTTTGTAGGAACTGATTTCTTGTAGTCTTGAAATCATATTTTGCATGCAAGTCTTGTAATATGATGTTTATGTTGAAATTCAACATGGCGTCGACCACTGTTGGCTTTCTGTATGATTGCTTCAGATAATTTCTCGATGGTTTTATTCGTGTGTAGCGAGAATGAGTGTTTAAAAACCATGTCAACTGGTTTGTTAAAGTAATCCCTTAAGTCTCCTAAGTGTGGTTCATGAATTAAGAATTCTCGGGAGGAGATTTTTGGACTATAAAATCTATTTAGTTGGTAAGGAAACTCATATACAAGATAAAACTCATTAAAAGCACTTTTAAAAGTATGGGTAGAAATATTAGAAATATCTGAGTTATAGTGATATACATCTTTGATATGTTCAATTCTCGGAATAATAGTATGGTTAGGAGTATACCCTTCATGGTAGTGCATCATCTACTATGTTTTTCTTACCTCGGTCTGTTACGCACTTAAAGGAGTTGTGTTTAGTATGGATGACAACTTCAAGAGTCTTACCTTGTAAAAAAGAGAAGAAACACGTTACAATATCACGTTAAAATGAGTAATAAAATACTTACCATCAGGAGGGTCACCTAGCACTATTCGACAACTCTTGGTGATGGAAGATGGTGTGGGCCAGTCTAGTGTTGCTTTTACTTTTTCATCATTTACATGGATTCTCTGTGCATGAACTATAAAGCTTGTAGAGTTGTTCAAATCCTGTTTCGTCATTAAGATGGCGTCACGACTAAGGCTTTCCTGGATGTATCCTTTTCGTAATAAATCTAACTTTTTGGTTTCTTCGAGATTGTATGTTTGATGAGGTATGATAGAACCTTGAATTAGATTGATTTGGTGTTGTTTTCCTCTTTCTAATGGTAATTCGTCAGGTGGGTCACCTAACACTTCTCGAAAATCATGTAACAAAGATGAAAACACACTAGGCAAATCCTTGTTAATGTTAGAAATCGAAACAATTTATTCCCTAAAACGAACAAGGATGAAAGGTTGTTTGTAAAGAAGGCTCTCTCTCAATTATTTTGTACTCACGCATAGATTTTGAGTCACTATTTGCTTCTCACAATTAGGTTCACTCACCTCCCATGGGTAATTATTCTTTTGACTTTTGTAACTAGTGACCTCTTTTTGCTTTTGCCTCTTTGTTATTTTTTTTTGCTTTCCCTACCTCCTCACAAATTATCATTTGATCTATAGGGGCTGGAAGTGTGTCATTCTTTGCTGGTCGTTCTTTTTCCTTGTCAGGTTTGTCATCTCTTAGCTTTTTCAGAGAAGATGGAGTAGAAGATGAGGAAAGATTACCTTGGTAAGAGGATGAAGTACCTTGGTAATGTTATATGAATCAAAATCTCCTTTTGGATTTGTGCTTCGATTGTCATTGCTTTATTTAGTGTATCTTCAAGGTTTTCGTACCCATAAAGGTCAAGAAGATCAGTGATGTTTGAATTTAAGCCAATGACGAATCTTGACATGGTGACCTCTTCTTTTTCAGTTATGTTAACCCTATTAAGTAAGGATTGTATCTCCTTATAGTAGTCTTCAACTGAACTTCTACCTTGTCGAAGTTGGTGTAGTCATAGTTTAACTTCTCATGTATAATGTGTCGGTAGGAATCTCTTCCTCATGGCTTGTTTGAGGTCGGTCCAAGAAGTGATTGTTGGAATCTAGAAGTTCTAGATCTTTTTCCTTGTTTTCATCCACCAAGTTCGAGCATATCCTTCGAATTGCATAGTGATGAGGGAAACTTGTTTAGCTTGGGGGCAGTCATGGTATGAGAACATGAGATCAACGTTTCCTTCCCAATCGATGTACCTGTCCGGATCATTGTGTCCTTCGAAAGACGGGATCGTGAACTTTGGTTTTGCAGAGAGTTTGGGTGCTTGGAAACGTGGTTGTTCTCGCCTGGGTACTAAAAGTTCAACATTGTTTGGTCTTGGATTATGGTTTGATAGACCCAGTTGTGGTTCTTGTCATTCTCTCGCGATATTGGTAAGTTCATCAAATCTTTCAATTTGAGTTGTGAGTCATGCAAGTGCGGATAAGATAGCCGTAAGTGTCTTGTTGTTATTATCACCCATCCTGAAATCATAACACTCGAAATAAAATTTTAAAGTAAAATAAAAATAAAAGAAAGAAAATTCAACAAAGCAAGAAACCTCACAAGTCACTCCAAGAAAGTAACACAGCGAGAGGTAAGTAAGCCGATCTTGTACTCTTTAAAACTCACTTTAGCAAGTATTCTTCCACAGTTCGTATCGGAGTTTGATTACTAGAAAAGGTGATAAGAAAACCTAAAAGCTCTAAGAGGCCAAACAAGGGTTAGACTCAAAGAGAACGAGAATGTAAGGAAGGAAGAAGTATGCAAACTCTTTAGTCCTACTAACACAAGAAAGATAATGTGTTAGATAACACAAGGAATAGGGATGGCAAAAAAAACTGAACCCGACGGGGAAAACCGAAAACCGAATTAAACGGGTCAGGTTCGGGGATGATAAACGGGGACGGGGGAAAACCGATTTTTTTAAATGGGGATGGGGATGGGGACGGGGACGGGTTTGGTAATCCCCGCCCGATACCCGGCCCGATACTCGGCCCGATACCCGGGTATTCAAACTTAATTTGTTTCACTCAAACAGCCCAATAATGTGAAATATTTTGTTATTTATTTTTGAACTTGGGCTGCAAGGTAATTCAAATTTAAAGGGTCAAACTCAAACAGGCCAATAATGTAAAACCCGGGTTAAGGCTCTCAACACCATCAGTCATCACCTTTTCTTCTGTCTTTCACATTTTCTCGAGATCTTTTTAGGGTTTCACTCTGCCGCAACTTTTGTTTATGGTGCGTTTTCTCTTCTCAGATTTTCTTATTCATCACTGTTTTGATATTATTATTGTTATAATTCATGCATTCTTGGTGGATGTTAAATAATGTTCATACTTTTAATCAACTCTTAATTAATGTCTGTTAGGTTGTTAGCTCTTTTTCATTTCAAATCTGGTATAGTAACTCCTCTAATGAAGAGTTGCAGAGGAAACCCCAATGAATGCCAAAATCAGTAACCCAAATGTAAATGCCACCAAACTCTTTATTGAAGCTAAAGTCTTTGTTCTACCCTTGTTCAAGGAAATGGTGTCTCTGTAAATCACACAACATATTAACATTTGATGTGAAATATTTCGCGATAGTAAGCTACATGTTGTTGCATCTTTCTGTTGCAGTTTCTTAGAATATATTGTTGCTGCAGGATTGGTTCTGAAATAGATGGTCGGAAAGCGTGCAACATTCTTCATGCTGCTGGGCCTTCGAAGGTTTTTTTTCTCTCTTTCCCTCTGTGCATTTTGTACCTGTTCAAGGCTTAGAACTTTCTGCATGAAAACCTATTTCCTGTTACATTGTTTGCTCTTGTCATTCTACGCCTAGTGCAAGGCTGAGGATTTTTTTTCTTCTTTTTTCTTTGTTTTAACATTATAAAAAAGAAATGTAATATTTTTTTGATAAGAAGGAAATGTAACATAAATTGGGCAGATTTTCCATGCCTTTCCCTTAATTCAAAATATTCTAGCAACACTAACAGATTAAAAGCTAAAAACAAGTTGGGTTTTGATAGGATGTAACTCTGCTTTAAGCCTCATATCCTTAAGTTTGGAACTTTGAACTCAAAATAAGAAAGGAATTTTGCCTACTCGTATGTGTGTAGACGTAGAGACACAAAAGATGATATTAGTCCATTGTTCTCAAATGGATTCTGTATATTGTATTCTAAGAAGGTATAATGGGTTCTGTGGTTCATGTTATGGTTGTGGAAAATATACCTTTTTGGCCTCTTCCGGTCCAGCGTTTTTTCCTGAGGTTAGAAGAAAACCTTGCATTTATCTTCCAGCATGTGGAAAGCACTATATGGTTCTTGCATCTGTTTAGATCTTGTACTTAGAAATTAGAACTTAGCTCTCATATATCATTTTCAGCATTTCCTGTGAATGTTGATTGTCTCAGGTTGTGATTACTAGCATCAATATAGAAGGCAATCTTCTTCTCATTGGCAGTCATCTGAAAGATAAGGTGGGCCTGCTAAATGTTACACACTTGAATTTATATTTAAGCTGTTGGCCGGTTTAAAATTTGGTGCTTTTCTTTCTAATATAAGGTCCAAAGACATTATCTACATGAAATTTCTGCTACCTGTTCGTGTTATATTTTGTTATAGATGCTTTTTTGCACGAAAATGACTGCATCTTGATCAGTGTTGTAAACTGGACCAGATTGGTGGTTGGAATGGGAACCGTTGGTTTGACCGATTTTATTGGTTACATATAGTCGTAAATAAAGTGAACCGCTAAAAAGCCAGGAATTGAAAAAAAGGGCGGTTCAACCAGTTATGCATTTTTATTTATGATTTTTCTGTTCAACCAGTTGAACTGGGAACTGGTTATCTGACTGTTCCAACACTGGTCCGGTTCTTAAAACATTGATCTTGTTGTTTGAGTGTCCTTCCAATTGCATTGAAGATTCAAAGGAGGGAGTGAATGTCCTGTATTCTGTTGATGTAGGAAGAAAACTCTAAAACTAGAACGGTCTAAGTTTCTTATATTTTATTTTGAGGAAGCATACAATCCATTTAGCGATTAATAAGTATCTACAAAATGTGCAATAAGAAAGAAGTGATTTGTATTTCTATTTAGTACAAATAGATGCTTTATTTTTTAGAATGAGAGAAAATTCGATGCTTTATTTAATATTAAGTTCCCGATTCTATTGCCAGTTTTATAAAAATAAATTATTAAAGCGTAATTTAGTATGAATTATATCATCTTTGTAAATTTGAAAGAAGTGATTTGTATTTCTATTTAGTACAAATTTAGGAGAAAGAAGACACTTTCTTTATGACATTCAAATTCATGAATTTAGATTTGTTACTAAATGTGAAATTAGTGTTACTAAATGGTTAATATCATTTCTGATCATTAATAGCTACTTTTTCTTAATGAAGGTTGTTTCATAGCAATAATGGAAGGTCAACGATCCATAGATGATAATTCTGATGCACGGGCACAAGCACAATCACAAGCTGAAAGCAATAATATGACTCAATCATCTCCGATGCCAAATAACCAAGGCCCATCCATTTCACCCATAGAAGAAGAACAAACACAAATCGATGATAGCAATGTTGGTACAAATAGTAGAAAGCGAAAACTTACTTCAGTTGTATGGAATCACTTTGAGAAGGTGAATGTTAATGGTGAGGATAAGGCAAAGTGTCGTTATTGCAAGAAAAAATTAGGAGCAAATAGTAAGAATGGGACACGACACTGGCATGATCATTTCAAGAGTTGTCCAAAGAGAACTTGTAGAGATATACGTCAACAAGTGATTGGGATGGGGCAAAAAACAACGGATGGACAAACAAATATATCATGCTTAAATTTTGACCCCCGAAAAATCAAGAAAAGATCTTGCAGAGATGGTAATAGTGCATGAATATCCACTTGTAATGGTGGAACATCATGGGTTTCGAAAGTTTGTGGTTGGTCTTCAACCTTTATTTAAGGTTCCATCTAGGAATACCTTAAAAAATGATATTCTAAAGATTTATGACTTCGAGAAAGAAAAAACAATGCGGTATGTTTATTTGTTTAATCGGTTTCTAATTTGTATCTTGTATTTATTTGGTTTCTAATTTGTATGCTGTATTTATTTCAGTCTATTGGAGAAGAATCGAAGCAAGATTGCCATTATGACAGATATGTGGACATCAAGTAATCAAAAAAAAGGTTTCATGTCAATCACATCGCATTTGATCGATGATAACTGGGAGATGCAAAGCCAAATAATGAGGTACTTTAAACTTACCTTTGCTAGCTAGGCACTAAATATAAGAACTAAATTGATTCTAATTACTTATTTACTAGGTTTATATACGTGCCTTGTCCTCATACTGCTGAAGTTCTTGCTGATGTGTTGTATGAATCTCTATGTGATTGGAACATTGATAGAAAAATATCAACAGTTACAGTTGATAATTGTAGCACAAATGATCTGATGATTCATTTATTATTAGACAAGTTGTCTTTGAACTCGTTGATTTTAGGAGGAGAGTTATTTCATATGAGATGTTGTGCACACATCTTGAACTTGATAGTTCAAGATGGTTTATCTGTTATTGGGGATGGAATTGAGAGAATTAGGGATAGTGTTTATTTTTGGAGCGTAACACAAAAAAGAATAGAAAAGTTTGAAGAAGCGGCTCGTCACTTGACAATTGATTGCTCAAAAAAATTGTCTCTTGATCGTAAAACACGTTGGAACTCGACATATTTGATGTTGAGTGTTGCTATAGTGTACAAGGATGTTTTCAAACGTTTAAAGAAACGAGAAGCACAATATAGAAGTTTACCTACAGATAGAGATTGGGAGTTAGCTTCAAGTATTTGTGGAAAATTGCAACTGTTTTATAAGGTGACTTTGATGTTTTCGGGTACCAAGTATCCTACGGCTAATGTATTTTTCCCATCCATATGTGAGATAAGAATTACATTAAGTAAGTGGAGTGAAGATCGAGATGAAGTGATAAAAGCAATGGGGGAGAGGATGCTTGTTAAGTTTGATAAATACTGGTCAGTTATACATGGAGTTATGGGAGTTGCAGTTATATTAGATCCAAGATACAAGTTCAAAATGATGGAGTATGCTTTCCCGAAGATTTATGGTTTTGAAAAGTCTGATGTTGAAATTGTAAAACTAAAGGTGCTTGTGTCTCGTTTGTTTCAAGATTATGAAACTTGTAATTATGAAAGCTCACGGAATCGGGATGTTTGATTCAAGTCGCAACACTAGTGACATGGAGGTTCAGGTGGAGGGGGGGTTTCAACGACTATTTTACATTCGTCGAAGATGATAATCATACAAGTATCACTATATGAGTTTGTTTTATTTATCTTTTGATTGTTTTATTTATGTTTTAAATGTATCAAATTATTATTGTAGGTATCATGTCGGAGCTTGATCATTATCTTCAAGAGAAAGTAAGGACACAAAATTCAGAGCTTGATATTTTGTCTTGGTGGAAAACAAATGGTTTCAAGTATCCAACATTACAAAAAATTGCCCGAGACATATTAGCAATTCCAATATCCACTGTTACGTCTGAGTCTGCCTTTAGTACAAGTGGTAGATTGGTGAGTCCTCATCGGAGTCGTCTTCATCCAAAGACGTTGGAAGCGCTAATGTGTGCCCAAAGTTGGTTAATAAACGAAATAAGAGGTAATCAATCATTTCTTTTACTTATAAGTTTATTTTTTTCAATTGTATTGTTGATATGATATGTTATATAAATTAATAAATACAGCAACTTGTTCACAAGAGTCCGTAGCATATTGCAAAAGCATCGAATATGATCGTGATGATGGTGATGAGGTACTAAATTGATATACAAGTTATACGTGATATCATTAACTTTTTTTATATAAATTTTGGTGACTTATAATTTTTTGTCTAATTGTAGCAATTGGGGGTCATAACTGTTTGATGACGGTGGTGGCGTCAAGCCCTTCATTGAGTGGCTTTAGAATGTCGAGTCTGAGTCGGAGGAGTGATTCACATTTATCATGCTTTATTGTTAATTTTATTTCAATCATTTGGGGTCACAACAACGAAGTGCTCTTTGTTATTTCAATTTGGTTTTCTTCATATTAAGACTACATTTCCCTTTGTTTTTATATTTTGATTTGAGTTTGTTGTTTTCTGCATTTAATTTCCCAACCATTCTTCCATTATTTTACTATAAGATTCCTGAAATCACATAAGAAAATTCTATTAATTAAGAAAAAGGAAACTTAAGACAAACCCGACCTCGTCCCTGCTCCTGAATTGCTTTCTGAAATATTTGTTCACTATCTCCAATATCAATCAATTTTTCAATTGTCTGTACATTGTTGAACAATCAGATATGTGCCAAATATAATGGAGAATTATTCATAATATCAGTTGGCCTTGTACCCGTCACTGGAAATCATGACAACCAGTAAAGAAGATTAGTAGCTCCCTGTAATATACTACTCACCCAATTTTGGTTTGTGTTTTGATTCCGTTTAACTTGTTTTTAATTTACTGAAATATTAAATTATTTTAATTTTATACAATTTTGAAGTATTAAATTACCCGTTTAAATAACCGTTTATGCTAAACGGGGATACCCGTTTCCCCGCGGTTTTACCCGATTACCCGATGGGGATCCCCGTTTAAATCCCCGCGGTTTTTTAAGCGGGGACGGGTATGGGTTTTTTAAACGGGGACGGGGACGGGGGGACCAATACCCGGCCCGAACCCGGCCCGTTGTCATCCCTAACAAGGAAGGAAGAAGTATCCAGTAGACTGTTGAACGGTGAGTCCTCAAACAATCTGTTTTTCGTGATCGCTTTATTCTAAGGTTTTATTGATCTCCAAAATTTCTTATTTTTTTGTGAATGATCTCCAATATATGAAGTTTTATTCTGGAAATTTTCACCACAAAATATTTCCTGTAAAATTTTCAAGAAATTCGACAAGATTCTAGACCGAATGTGTCGATGAAACTTGAATGATGTATTTGAAGACTCTAATAAACTCCGATTGGGGGGTGAATTTTGGACTGAAGATTACTCTTGGGATGAGTATGAGATCTGGAGAAAATAATCCCTAAATTCCTTCATTTGATTTTTTTTTGAAAATTTGACTTTTTTGCCTCTCTTTTTTTTGAAAAAACAGTAAACTAACAAGAAGGATTTGAGTTTAAATTAAAATTAAATAAAAAGAACCTAAAACGATTAACATTTTGTGAACTAGATCCATTGGGGTACCTTGACGGTTATGTATGCAAGAGCAAGAAAGATTGCTTGTTCCTTTCCAAGAATCAGCCCAAATCTAATACCAATTGATAGGGAAGTGGTGGCGGGTTAATGAACGTTGCTCTTGTTAAAGAATCAAACCTAGAAAGCTCTAGACTTGATGAAGAACAAAGGGGGATGAATAGAGGAAGGTGGTGGCAGCAACCAGGGTCTTTTAGAGTTTCTTTTAAGTGTTGG